AAATCCATATACTAACAAACTGGATAACCTAGAAGAAACGGACAACTTTCTAGAAAAATACAACCTTCCAAGACTGACCCAGGAAGAAACAGAAAATCTAAACAGACCAATTACCAGCAATGAAATTGAACTGGTAATCAAGAAACTACCCACAAACAAACCCCTGCACCAGATGGATTCACTACTGAATTTTATCAGACATTTAGAGAAGAAATAATACCCATTCTCCTTAAAGTTTTACAAGAAACAGAAGAGGAGGGAACACTTCTGAATGCATTCTATGAAGCCAGCATCACTCTAATACCAAAACCAAGCAAAGACACAATAAAAAAAGAAAACTACAGAGCAATATCCCTGATGAACATAGATGGAACAATACTCAACAAAGTATTAGCAAACCAAATTCAAAAATACATCAAGAGGATCATACACCATGATCCAATGGGATTCATCCCAGGGATGCAAGGATGGTACAGCATTTGAAAATCCATCAACATATTCCACCACATCAACAAAAAGAAGGACAAAAACAACATGATCATTTCCATAGATGCTGAAAAAGTATTTGACAAAATTCAACATCCATTCATGATAAAAACTCTCAACAAAATGGGTAGAGAGGGGAAGTACCTCAACATAATAAAGCCCATATATGACAAACCCACAGCCAACATCATACTTAACAGCAAGAAGCTGAAAGCTTTTCACCTAAGATCAGGAACAAGGCAGGGATGCCCACTCTCCCCTTTTATTCAAAATAGTTCTGGAGGTCCTACCCATAGCAATCAGGCAACACAAAGAAATAAAAGGCATCCATCCAGATTGGTAACGAAGAAGTCAAATGGTCATTGTTTGCAGATGACATGATATTGTAGATAAAAAACCCTAAAGAATCCATTCCAAAACTACTAGATCTAATATCTGAATTCAACAAAGTTGCAAGTTACAAAATTAATACACAAAAATCTGTTGCATTCCTATACGCTAATGATAAACTAGAAGAAAGAGAAATCAGGAAAACAATTCCATTCACAATTGCATCAAAAAGAATAAAATACCTAGGAATAAACCTAACCAAGGAAGTGAGAGACCTTTACCCTGGAAACTACAAGACACTCTTTAAGAGAAATTAAAGAGGACACTAATAAATGGAAATCCATCCCATGCTTTTGGGTAGGAAGAATTAATACTGTCGAAATGGCCATCCTGCCTAAAGCAAACCAAAGATTCAATGCAATCCCTATGAAAATACCGACAGCATTCTTCAATGAACTGGAAAATAGTTCTAAAATTCATATGGAACCACAAAAGACCCAGAATAGCCAAAGAAATCCTGAGAAGGAAGAGTAAAGGAGGGGGGATCTCGCTTCCCAACTTCAAGCTCTACTACAAAGCCACAGTAATGAAGACAATTTGGTACTGGCACAAGAACAGACCTATAGACCAGTGGAACAGGCTAGAGAGTCCAGATATTAACCCAAGCATATATGGTCAATTAATATATGATAAAGGAGCCATGAATATACAATGGGGAAATGACAGCCTCTTCACCAGCTGGTGTTGGCAAAACTGGACAGCTATGTGTAAGAGAATGAAACTTGATTACTAACTCCATACACAAAAGTAAAGTTGAAATGGATCAACGACCTGAATATAAGTCATGAAACCATGAAACTCTGAAGAAAATATAGGCAAAACTCTCTTGAATATATAAACATGAGCAACTTCTTCATGAACATATCTCCCTGGGCAAAGGAAACAAAAGCAAAAATGAACAAGTGGGACTATATCAAACCAAAAAGCTTCTGTACATCAAAGGACACCATCAGTAGAACAAAAAGGCATCCTACAGTATGGGAGAATATATTCATAAATGACATATTCAATAAAGGGTTGACATCCAAAATATACAAAGAGCTCATGTACCTCAACAAACAAAAAGCAAATAAGACAATTAAAAAATGGGCAGAGGAGCTGAACAGACACTTTTCCAAAGAACAAATTCAGATGGTCAACAGGCATATTTAAAGATGCTCCAAATTGCTAATCATCAGGGAAATGCAAATTAAAACCACAATGAGGTATCACCTCACACCAGTTGGGATGGCCAACATCCAAAGACAAACAACAACAAATGTTGGTGAGGATTTGGAGAAAGAGGAACCCTCCTAAACTGCTGGTGAGAATATAAACTAGTTCAACCATGTGGAAAGCAGTATGGATGTTCCTCAAAAAACTCAAAATAGAAAAACAATTTACCCAGGATTTCTACTCCCAGGAATTTACCCTAAGAATGCAGGAGCCCAGTTTGAAAAAGACATATGCACCCCTAATGGTTATTGCAGCACTATTTACAATAGCAAAGAAATGGAAACAACCTAAGTGTTCAACAGTAGATGAATGGATAAAGAAGATGTGGCACATATACACAATGGAATATTATTCAGCCATAAGAAGAAAACAAATTCTACCATTTGCAACAACATGAATGGTGGTAGAGGGTATTATACTCAGTGAAATAAGCCAGGCGGAGAAAGACAAATACCAAATGATTTCACTTATCTGTGGAGTATAAGAACAAAGCAAAATTGAAGGAACAAAAGAGCAGCAGACTCACAAACCCAAGAATGGACTAACAGTTACCAAAGGAAAAGGGACTGGGGAGGATGGGTGGGAAGTGAGGATAAGGGGAAAAGGGGGCATTACGATTAGCACACATAATGTAGGGGTTGGGCACGGGGAAGGCAGTATAGCATAGAGAAGACAAGTAGTATCCTACTATGCTGATAGACATTGACTGTAATGGGGTATGTGGTGGGGACTTGATAATGGGGGGGAATCTAGTAACCACAATGTTGCTCATGTAAGTGTATATTAATGATAACAAAATTTAAAAAATGCAACTTGGTAATACATGTGTGAGAATACTTAGCAAAAAACCTGAAACTGCAGAAGAATGAGTACCAGTCCTATGCGCCATTACATCATAAATCCACAAGTATTTTAACAGCTTGAAAATGGCACAGAATATCAGTGAAATAGAGTATTATAGCCTAAAAATGTACCCAGATGCACACAGTACAAAGTTAATATATAACTAAAATGGCATTTCAAGTCAGTGTGGAAAAAGAAGGATGATTCCAAGTTGTTGCAACAACTTGCTATATGTGGGAAAATGGAGTTCTGTCTTTCTTTAAAATGAGTTTTAGATGGAGCAGCAGTTCTAATATTAAAATATCATAAATTGCTAGAAGGAAGACGTGAAATTTTTAGAATCTCAGAGTGGGCAAGACATTGCTAAGTCTGAAGGAAGACTAGAAGTCACAAGAAAACCTAACTAAACCTAGCTTTAAAACAGATAAAAATGTACTTTACTGCACAAATAAATGAATGAAAAACTACAAAAATCTACAACACTTAGTACACATGAAGAATTAATTTCCTAAGTATAAACTCTTACAAAATCGTAATGCAAAGATAATCCAAGAAAAGAATGGCCTACGACAGAAACAGATAGCTTCATAAGAAATACAAATTTGGTCGTCACTATCAAAAATCACAAACAAAGCTAGATACTATTTTTTTTCAGATAGGATTGGTAAAAATGAATAAATCTTATTACTAGCAAGAATAATCTAATTGTTAAAAAGTAAATGAATAAATGATGAGCATTTGGGGAAATTGCCTGATATGCAATGATGACTATGTTTACCTAAATTTAAAGTACACTGTTTGGCAAAGCAGTTTCTAAACATGTGTCCTAAAGATATATTCACACATGAGCAAGGGTGAATGTACAGGGATATTTTTTTCATGATTTTTTGTAATTACAAAAACCTGAAGCCAACAAAGTAATTAGAAAATACAAAATCATGACAGATCCATTCATTGTGAACACTATTCAATCACAGAAAAGATAAGAATCAACCCAGTGAGGTACAGCAGTAGGTACTGATACAGGAAGAGTCTTAAAAATACTGAGTTGGTAAGGGGATAAAAACAAAATGCTCCCCGTTATATCTAGTATGATACAATTTCTGGGAAAAAGATGTATGAGAAACTCTTACCAGTGGTTCCCTCTGGTGAGTGGGGGCTTGGTGGGATGACTGGCTTTTCACTTGGTACTCTTCTGCAGAGATGAAGCCTGGATTCTTCTGTACCTTTTCTTTCCTCTAACATTCCAAACATCTGCAGTGGCTCTGTGAGCCACAGCACTTCACAGAGCTGCCGGCCCCGCTCTGCGGTCCCTTCCTGCAGTGTCTGTTTGGAGCCCTTCCCTCTGTGCTCTCATCTGCTCTTCCTCTCTCTGCACATCCAAATATTGTCCATTCTTCATGGACCACCTCAAAAGGCAACAATTCCACGAGGACTTCTCTAACTCCTCAGAATAACACTGCTCTCTTCCTTCTCAATATTCCCACAGAACTTAAAACTGCAACATACCACTGGCATTCAACTGTTTTATCCAAATTAATTGATTTTGTAACATGTTCTTTTGCATTTCAGTTTTTTTCCCCCAATTTTTAAGCATTGTAATAGAAAGCATGTATTTTGTCCTCCAACCCCACACTACAGTCAATGTGAGGCAGAGCATTCCATAGTTTTACATAATTACATATGATAATTTCCTCAGTATCTACATACTATTTTACAAAAACAGTCCTTGTCATTTATGATCCTAGTTCCTAGATCATATGGCCTATGTTATATTTTCTTCATTTAGGGATAGGCAGATGGCATAAAATCCTTTTTAAGGTCACATTTTATATATATGAAATTTCTTATTCAAAGGAATCCTAAAAAACTGAAATCTGATTTACAATTCTAATAATAAGACCACTTAACCTAGTGAACAGCTTCCTACTTATCATACCCTTATAGAAAAACACAACAAAACAAACCTAGTCTCTTAAAATGATATTTCAGGAACAAGAACATAATATTAAATCCTGATTAAAGAAGAGAAATAGATATAACATTGTAATATCAATTTTATCCAGTGTAAGAAAAAACTAGGCTTTATTTTGATAAAACATTTCATATTCCCTCACATCACAGCATATCAATAAGCAAAATGCACATATACTGATTTTTATACTACATGTCAAGTCCCAGTTCTGAATCCCGGGTAAGCAAGTTGCAAAACACAAGTGCTGATAAACATAGGTAGTATTTTTAACAAAAATAAGTGAATTTTCAGCACTCATGTGAAACAAGGCTATAATCAAAGAGACTTAATTCCACAGAGTGTCTTATTTTCAACAGTAATTAATTCAAGTCTGTGATTCCAAGCTTAAGTGACAGTGTTATACTGAAGCAAACAAGAAAAGGCAATCAACTCTTAAGGAGTATATTACAGCATGTACTGTTTTTGGACACTCTAACTGAATTCAAGCTTTAGCACTTGTTTTGGAGTCTAAAGTAACAAGAACTAGAGAGATGAGCTCTCACTCCATTTGGAGGAATGTACCATAACTGCTCTGTCTTGGCACTAAGGTACACTGTTACACTGGCAGCCCTTAATCAACTTCCCAAGCTACAGGATTCACCACAAGCACACGTCCTTTAGCTACAACTTTGACTGAGGAATACAAATTTTAACAGAAGAAAATTCTGTACTTCGAGTTTTAAAAAGCAGACAGTTCTATGAAGAAACAACCTTTTAAATATCTGAGTATACACATTCAAATGTTTACAACTTTAAACAAAGTTTTGATTTCAGAAGTATCATTTCATGGACCCCACATCAAACATTTACACAATACAGGTTTCATACAGTATAATTTTAGAAACTGCAAGTGGCACAAAATAATCACATTTTTATGAAATTCAAGTTTCCAGTGATCTTAAAAAGACAATTATAATGGTTTTTGTTAAGCTGAGATACCCACTTATGGTTATTATCTAGAAAATCCTGAAGTTATGTGAAAAAATTAGTCAAAGAAAATCTTTGAGTTTGATAATTTTCAACCTTTGAAAATATGCATAGCTAAAAACAAAAGGGCTCCTCTGGCCTATGAGCAATTAGATCAAGAAGCTTCACAAGCCTAAGCCACTAATGGAGCTATCTTAAGTTTTACATAATTTCCAGTCTTAATAAGACTATTTTCACTCATGAAAGAAGTGAAGGTGGAAAAAGACAAAATACTGTATGATTTCACTTGTATGTGGAATCTTAAAAACAAAGCAAAATGAACACAGTGAGAAGTGACTGATGGTTACCAGGGGAAAGGGGTTGAGATGGATGGGTGGAGTGAGTAAGGGGGATAAAGAGGCAGAAAATATCAATGATAATGTAAGTTGGTCACGAGGATGAAGTGCAGCAAGAATATAGTCAATGTTTCTGTAACATCTTTCTGTGTTGACAGATAGTGGCTGCGCTAGTTGGGGTGAGGATTTAATCATGTAATGAATCACTGTGTTGTATACCTGAAACCAATATGATATTCTATGATCAACTATCTGAACTATTCTTCAATAAAAATGTTTAAAAAAAAGAAATGACCTTTGCAAGGTCATAGGCATGGGAAATGGCACTTATGGACAAGAATCACAACTAGAAGCTGGGGGAAATGGATCTTAGCATTATCTCAAAGTATGAGTTATGTTATAGAATCCATATACAATAGAAGCAATAGTTTAGAAACAGTGGGAAGCTCAAATCTTTTTAGTTATTTTTGTTTTACTAAACCCTCTGAAGTAAGCAGTCTATTCACATTCAAAAACAAAGCAAGGGAAATAAAAATAAAACAGGAAAATGTGACAGCATCTTAGTAGGAATCCCCAAAGTGTCTTTTCCTCTCTTTGTTTTGGGCACACCGTCTCAACTTTCTCCTCTCCATTTCAAGAGAAAAAACAAAAGCAAATCTCTGCTCAAAGCAGTCACCCTGTGAACACTCTGGGGTTTGCATGTTTTTTTTCTAATTTCCCATCCACTCAGACCCTGAAATCTGAACACTTTTCTCTCCCACTGGCATGAAGTCTGAGCTACTATGCAACTCACACGGAAAATGGGGAGGACAGCAGTGGCTGCTGCCAGGTGCCTCAATGTGTCCTGTTTTTTAAAAATTATTTTTATTTTTTAAAATCTGACAAAGACAAAGACTAGAGCTGGAAATTCACACAGTTCAGGAATAGATTGAAAAAAATCAGTCCTTAAGATTTTCAAGTAAATGCTCCCAAATAAACTATTATAAAGCTGCTAATTAGCCAAATTCTGCTGGAAATGTTTGCTGTTTTTATGAAAGCTCCCTCTACAGGGACTAGAGTATTTGAGTCCACAAACTAGCTACTTTCAAGAAGGAATTCTTTTGACCAAAATTTACGTTAAAGCCTATTTTCTCAATTCTTCCTTTCTTTCCCCCAAGTTGCTCAAATCACGTTTTAAGGTGAAGAACTATGTAACACAGGTGAAGAACTATGTAACTGTACTTGTTAAGAAACCTAACATTTTAGGGAGCTGGTAAAACTTTTCACAAGATACTCAAAGAATTTACAGATGTTATTTCTCTGTGCTGCATAATATATAACGTCAGAAAGTGTGTTTCGACTCAAAGGATAACCTGAAATGCCACAGTGTGACAATATATTCATTAGAAAGCATAATTTAAAAGGAAAGCATATTACATATTTTAATAATTCCAATGTTTTTGTTATTTGGGATTAATTTAACATCTTTTCTTTCTGCTTTTGATTTTCCATTTCTGAGAGGGCATCTTTTATTCTTAAGCTGTGTTTGAGACTACAACAGATAGGCTAATGCAACTTAATATACATATAAATAATACATAAACAGTTCATATGTATACATATAAATGGCTCCAAACATCAGACCACTGAGGTGGTACTTTCAGGATTCACACGCAGAAGTCTAGATGCATTCCTCAGGTCCTGGAGTTGCTTGGCAGGTTTTCCCACACCTTCTTCAAATCTTTTCTCAACCACAGGGAGGACTGTTTCATATAGAAAGGATGCATTCTGTCTGATAAAAGCCTTCTTCTCTGGATCCTGCTCACACCGAAGGCTGTAATCCACGTGCTGAACAGCAACCAGAATGACTTCCACCAAGCTCTCCAAGAGTACCATGTGCAGCTCTGGGAAATACAGCTTCAGGGCCTCTTCCAGGAAGCCCATAGTCTGTTTGGTAAAAGCAACCACTGTATAACTTAGGTTCACCCAGCAGTCATCACCTGTGTACTGTTCAAAGTTACTTACTCCGCAACTCTTCATTTCCTCTTTGAGCTTGCCCAGGGCCTCTGGAGTCATCAAGTTCATCCTTCTCCACATTTCCTCAGAGTTGCGATGTTTAGTGGCTTCAATGATGATCTCTTTGTAACTGTGCAAGGCCCCCTGTATGTCTTTCACCAGAAGGGCATGGATGATGAAGGTGAGATCTAGTCCGATGTCACCCAGCTGCTGACAGTGTTCCTTGGCCACTTTTACACACTCTGCAGCAGTAGAGAGGCTCTCCTTACTATCAAACACCTGCTTGCTAAATGCATCCACAAACATGCCCATGGCCGATCTTGCCCAGACCACAAAAGCAGAGTAGCAGCCACTGTCAGTGCCTGCAAAGTCTGTCTCAAATTCCCTCGCAGTCTCCAGGAGGCTGGTAAAGAAGACATGACACAGCTTATGAATGTACAGTAAAGTGGCACCTTCAATGCGAAGCTGCCGTATTGCAGTGTGCACGGCTGCTGCCCTGTTTCTCAAAAACAGCTCACAAGCCTTGGTGCACTGGCCAAGCCGGATTAGTTGAGAAACTGCCCTGCGAGTAGCCTTGGGACCACCTCTCAGGGAACGATCTGGGGAAAGTTCAAACACTAGCACCTCGGTGAGCTGTCGGACACGCTCATCCACTCTGGCCCTTAGTTCTTTCACAGGAGGTGGACTGGGCTTATCTTCCAGGTAATGGTTCAATTTATCCAGCAAGTCAACAGCCCCTTCAAAGTCCCTCTGGGCAATACAGACGTCCAGGTCTTCAGGCAACTCCTGGATCCATTCCACTGAGAGGTCCACCTTCTCTTCTTCTATCTCAGGAATAGCTGGATCGTCGTCATCTTCATCCTCAAATGGGTTACTGGCCTTGGAAGTCACTTGGGGAGGCCCACGAGGGGCTGCTGCCTCCTCCTGCTCCCTTCGTCTTTTTTCACTGAGGGCCCTCTTGGTTTCCTCCAGCACTTCCAGCCATTCTCGTTTGATTTTAGCATTTTCTGCCTGAAAAATACGGCTCTCGGGAAACATTAGCAGCTTGAACATGTCCTTCATGGGAGGGTTGTCCTTGACGTTGACAACGGCCAAACCATCCAAGGGATAGAGGGCGTTGTAGCGATACATACCCCGCCGCTGCGGCAGCCAGGTGGCCACCAGCAAACAGTCGTTCATGAGAAAGCCGTGCACGCGCTGCAGCTGGGCCATGTGGTCTGCCTCGTATTCCACCAGGTCCCCGTTGTACACCAGGTACTGCCCCGGCGTCTCCAACAGGTGCCTACAGCCTTCCACCTTCTCAAGCAGGGTGGTGAGTGTGCGCTGCTTTCCCTCCTCGCTGGGACCAGAGCTGTCGCGGGAGGTGCCCCCGGGGGTGGGAAAGATGCCAGCCTGGCTCCGGAGGTGGTCTCGGCCGCCCGCGCCGCCTCCCCCGTCCTCGCCCCCGGAGGCCGCGGCAGCTCCGACGGCGGCGGCCGGCAACAGAGTAGGCGGGATGCTCTCCAGGCTGCTTTTCTGCTCGGTCAGCAGATGGCTGAGCTGGTACATCTCGCTCTCCAAGTAGGAGATCTCGCGGGCCGTCTCTATGAACTGCCGGTAGTTCTTGTAGACATTGCGTTTCAGGTTCTGCGCCGTCTCCTCCGCCAGCGCCTGGATGCGCTGCCGGTGCTCCTGCAGGTCCCGGTCCCCGTCTGACTGCTGCGAGAGCTGCTTTACGTATAGCCGCGCCTCAAAGCCTCCTGACTCCAGCTGCCGCCGCAGGCGGCTAGCCCCACTGTCCGACATCGCCACCGCCATTTCCGTCCGGGTCTCACGCAGCCACTGTCACTATCACCGCCGTGTGGCCGCTACTGCCTAGACCCACCCAAGCCCGGCCCAGCTCCAGGTTGAGGAAGCAAGGTGAGAATCGAGTACGCCTGCTCCCGGCCCGAGCGTTACACAGTGCGCCGGCGCAAGGGGCCTGGCGCAGTCATTGCGCCTGCGCAGGAATGCCAGCGGCGCACAGCGTATGCGCTAAAACAGCTACTGCGGAACCGAGTGGTGGGGAGGCAGTGAGGCGTAGGTACTGCGCATGCACTGTGTGACGCCGGTGTTTGGATTTATCTTCGAAGCGTGAGGGCGGTGACCAGCTGGCTAAAGCCTTCCCCCGGCCCAAGGCATGGAAACCCATTTTGGGCCCATTAGGAGCTATGCCGTGTTCTTCTTTTAAGCCCCGTGATCTTGCATCGGCGCTTTGGGCAGGCTCCGGGCTCGTTCTAGAGCCATTTTTCCCTGAGTTCTCGCGAGATCGGTGCGCTGCCGCGAGAGCAGCCTGAGAACCGGTTATCTCCTAGGAGCTGGGCCCGGCCGTCTGAGTCTCGGGACAGCGGCCTGCCTGGCCGGGGCGACCCTGAATCCGCGGGCCCGCAGGGATCTCGGCAGCGATGGACGAGGACCTGGTTCTGGCGCTGCAGCTTCAGGAGGAGTGGAACCTACAGGCCTCGGAACGCGACCGGGCCCAGGAACCCGTGTCGCTGGTGGACGCGTCCTGGGAGTTGGTGGACCCCACGCCGGACTTGCAGGCCCTATTTGTGCAGTTCAACGACCGGTTCTTCTGGGGACAGCTGGAGGCCGTGGAGGTGAAGTGGAGCATGCGGATGACCCTGTGAGTGCCGATCCCTGCTGGGGAATAGAGGCGGGCCCCGGCCTGGGTCGTCGGGTCGCTGGGCGACGGCGGCTGCGGTTGGATCAGCACTTGCCTTAGCCTCGGTCTCTCCCCACCAGCATTGATGCGTGGTCCGCCCCGCTGCATTTGACTTATAAGGGACGCAGTGAGAGAGAAGGGTGTTTCTTTAAACCTCGTCTTAACAGTAACACATTTCTGATTTGTCTCGTGGTAGGTCTTTAGTACCCAGGAGGGAGAAACCCCTAGGAAAGAACTCTGACGACGCAGTGCAGCCTCTAAAGCAGTGCTGGCCTCTTCCGAGCTTGTGTGTGAGAATGGGGAAGGGGTGGCCGTGTGGACCCAAGGGATCTTCAGGGATGGCTCTAGAGGAATCCTTTTTCTACAGGCTAAGTTTGAGAAATCCCGATTTGAAGTATTCTACTGTTGTACGTGAAGCAGGTTAAGCTTAAGATATGGTTGTATACTACCATGCTTATTTTTGAATTGATACCAAACGACCTGAAGAAGACGGATTAATGTGATACAAAATTGTGTTTAAAGTACAAATCTCCTTTTTATTGGTTTCTGTTACAATTTTGGAGATGCGTTAATGGAGAGCCGGTTGTTACAGCCACAGAGGACACTGGGAGCAGCAGAAGAGGATTATCTTTGAGCTGTTGATGCCTGGGTAGGGTGAAGGAAGCCACTGCTGTTCTCACCCTTTCCTAACTAGGGTGAAATGCAAATGTCTCCTAACAAAGAGGGTATACTTTCAATAAAGCCATCTGCCCTAGAAGTCCCTTAGTGTGAGCTGCCTAAGAGTGTGTAAGGGCATGCGTTTTCATCTCTATATCCTTTCTGTGTATATTTGGTAAGTAACACTTCTGTGGGGGTTGTTTTCCAGGTGTGCTGGGATATGCAGCTATGAAGGAAGGGGTGGAATGTGTTCCATCCGCCTCAGTGAACCTCTGTTAAAGTTGAGACCAAGAAAGGATCTTGTGGAGGTATTCTGCATAAACCTGATTCTTAGCTCAGTAATTTTAAAATGCATATTACTGATTTAGGCTGCTGTGAATTAACCTGTATATGTATGGAAAAAAATCAGTTTTTCCTCATTAAAAACTTGAATTGTGGGCAAATAATAATGATTCTCATATATTTTTATGGTGATCCAAAGTTAAAGGCTTTCTAGTGTATTATCTAATTTGATCTTTACAACAACCCTATGTTCAATGTGTGTTGTCCTCATTTTTATAAAAGAGGAAATGATAAAGTTCAGAGAGGCTAAGTTATTGGTTTAAGTTCATAATTAGAGGCAGAGAAAACTTAGGATTCAACTCTTCCTATTAAGACACTCAAATGTTGATTCTCTTCTGTTCAGCTACCCTGGTGCTGCCCTGCAAGGGCATCAGGCTGAGCTGCAGAACAAACCAGTTCAAGGGCACACTTCATGTTTAGAGCTGCTGGTCACCCCACTAGCAAAATGGAGCAGTAGTAACTCTCAGATTGGGTTTAATTGAATCTAGTAGATGCCTGAAATTCCCCAGGCTGCACCAGGTGTGACTTGTCTTGCCCCAGATATATAAATTGAAATATATGGGGTGGTAGAGGTTGGATGGGAAATATGTTAAAACATGCTTAGAAATATAATGGATGCTGTATTTAAGGATAACAGGTGATGGGTTTCATAACACTGTGACTATGCTTAACACTACTAAACTACATTTAAAGATGGTTAAGACAGTAGCATAGTCTAGATATTTCTAGGTCAAAGGATAAATCCTTTGTAATTTCATCAGATGTTCAGAAATTCTGATGTAATTTCATCAGATGTTCAGAAATTCTCCTCCATAGGGCTTGTACCACTTTGCACTCCTACCAGCTATATTTGGGGATGTTTGTTTTCCCTTAGCTGTAAAAATGGTGCCAAACTTTAGGAATTTTTCTAATCTTGATAAGCAAAAAGCAGTGTACTAGTGTAGTGTTAATATATTTGTTTTTATAAATGAAGTTGAACATTTTTCCATATGTTTATAGGTTCTTTAATTTCTTTTTCTGTGAATTATCCATGACCTTTGTCCATTTTAAAATTGGGTTGTTGGTCATTTTCCTGTGACTTTAGGAGCTCTTTTTATTTTAGGAATTAATAGTCTGTGAGATAAGTTAAACATACATTTTTCTGAATTTGTCTTTTCATTTTACTCACAGAGTTTTTTCCCTATACAGTATGGTAAAGTTTTTATGTGATTGAATTCACTGATCATTTCTTGGGGATTTTGATTAATAGTTAAAAAGGCTTTCTTGGAGCAGGAAGTTTGTAACCTGGGATCTACAGAGCTTTGGATATTATATACAACATTTGTGAATGTGTGCTTTCAAATTTTTCTAGAAAGGTGGTTCATGACTTTTATCAGTTTCTGAAAGAGAATCTGTGATCTGAAGGAGGTTAAGATCCCAGGTAGAGTAAGAAAATGCACTTTCATTTTCAAAAGTGCTATAACAAATTAATTTGTTTTCTGTTTCAGACACTCTTGCATGAAATGATACATGCCTACTTATTTGTTACCAATAATGATAAAGACCGGGAAGGGCACGGTCCAGAGTTTTGTAAACATATGCATCGAATCAATCGCCTGACTGGAGCCAATATAACGGTATATAAAGCCACACACATTTATGCTATTTAGTAGTTTTTTACTCAGTGATTCCTGGGATTTAATTAAAAATAGAGAACTGGGTAGAAACAAATGGTATCTTTGAGCATTTTCCACAGCAAGCGAGAGGCCTAGAGAAGCAAACTGGCTTGTCTGGGATTACAGACTCAAAGGGCAGCAGAGGCCATAACCCCAAGGCCTCTGACCTCGTCCAGGGTACCGTTTTATGTGTAGCTACTTGCGGCCTTCCATAGCACTCCTGGGCTATCACAATTATGTCTTAACTGGTTTCCTTATTGTATAGTCTCCTCCTCCAGCCCATTTTATATTCTACCATTGCATATGTCACTCCCTTCATCAGAAGTCTTTGATTCATATTTCTGCATAATCTTGTACATGGTGGCAGAGCCTGGTGTCAAAACAGTGTGAATCAGACTGCTTAGCTGCAGATGCTGCCGCCACTGATTATTAACTGGGACCTGTTTACCTCTCCCATGCCCCTGTTTACTCACAAGTAAAACAAGGATAGTGACAATAACATTCTATCAGAGCCTTGTGAGGACTAAAGGAGAAAATACATGCAAAGCATTTTAGCAGTTTGAGTACTAACTAAATATTAGTTTTCATTATTATTGATCCATTTTATCAGATGACCTTACTGTTACTTTTTTCTTAAACTCCCATGAACCCCTTGCTTGTGTCTTGTATCTAACTGAACTTAAACTCTGTGCCTTTCCTCATATATCCTGTCCCCAAAATGTGCTACTTCCTGTTTCCTGTCAAAATGCTCTTAAATTTTCCACTGGGATATAAGTTCTTACTCCGTTGAATCTCCTCAGCAGACAGTTAACTTTTTACAGTATTTTATTCTGTTTTCATACCTGTGAATACAGGCAGCTCTTAACTTATTTTTATATATACTTTTGTATAAGATATATAATGTCAGGCCCCTACACGGGCATAATGAGGATTGAACTGAATCGAACCAGATAGAATGTTAATTGCTACATAGATTAAATTCATTGCTGTGTTTGTTAGGTGCTTCCTTGAAAAGCTAGTAGAGGCCAGTGCGATGGCAAATGAGGAGCACTCACCCTCTGTGTATTTTTCCTAGCCATCAGTTCTGATTTTCTAGAGAGCTTATTTAATTCCTGGATAGAGTTACTTCAACATCAGGAAAATGGCTTACATTAAAACAAGTCACATAAAATCCAGATTAGCAAAAAAATTAAAGGCTTTTAGTTGCATCATTAGACTTTGCACTTTAAGCAAAGGCTGGCATACTTCTTGTTAGTTGGAAGAGGGTCTGTTCTTTTATCTTGGATGTCTATGTGTTTCTATTAGGAGAGGTTTTAGTGAGTGGACATCCTTGCTTTTAACGGTTACATCCTGTTGTAATGAACTCCACAGGGCATCCAGTTTCACACTACAATACAGTTTTATTTTAGTGACTGTATTGTTACAAAGTCACATCCCCCAGGCTGTAGGAGTTGAAAGCATTTCAGAGCCATTTCCCTTTTTTGCTAGTGACTTAACTAAGCGAAGAGTCCTCAGTGTGAGGGAGAAGGCAGGCTCTATGTACAGCTAATATGAGGTGCATTGTTCACATGCTTGCCAGGTAATAGGGTTTTTTTGTTTGTGCTGGAGAGAGAGTATAAACCTATTTATCTGTGCAGTTACAGAAAGCTTAGCATTCTTTCCCACAAGGGAATTTATTATTACAGTTCTGTGTCTGGTTTAAAAAAATGTCATGTACAGATGCTGCTCCTTATCTTCTGTGATAGTAACATTCCACTGAGAAGACAGAAGAAAAAGGCACTCATAGTCACTGAGGAGTCTCAGTTGTTAAATGGCGCCCTGCCGTCCTCGGTGCCACCAAGGTGGGAGGCTTTCAGTCAGAATTCTTGTTCTGTCTTCTGCTTAAGTTCTAAGTGAGATTTCACCTACCGAGTGAAACAGAAGGATCCTATTTAAGAATTGAAAAGCATATTTATAGAAATTTTATTTGACTCAATGAGCGAAGCTTTTTGCTCACTCAGTCAGCAGGTGCTTCCTGAGCACCTGCACTGGACCATGCCTGTGTTAACCACTGGGGAGACAGAGATGAAAACATTTGAATCCTGGAGAGCTTTTCACCTGTAAGCAGATGAAATGGTACCCCATAAGGCTTATTACAAATACGTGGGCATGAGACTGCCTCAGCAAGCAAGCTGTTTGTGTAGTTGTGGTCAGCAGTCCTTCAGAACCCTTTGGTATTATTACCTACAAGGGAAATTTTCAGTTCAGTGGGATCAATTCCTGTTTATTATGGCAGTATATAAACTCTTGTCTTTATCCTAATTTTCAGTCATTTAAAAATTTTGTTTCTAATACTTTCAGCATTTATAGAGGGGTTTTGTGTCTCTTAATTTTTTTGTCTTCTCACATTTTTCTATCTTTACACAGTTTATATGAAGTATTAAATTAACTGCTGTTGTTTCCATTAAAATGAACTTTTGAACAGAGACTAAATACAGTTTCTGTCTTTCCCAAAAAAGAACAACAAAGCTCTGGGAAACTGGAAAGTTAAAAGAAAAACAAACCTGCCTCTGTATGTTCTTAAAATTGTTAACTTAGCCACACAGTGCCAAACTCTCTCTCTCAACTCAGGTGTACCATACTTTCCACGATGAGGTGGATGAGTACCGGCGACACTGGTGGCGCTGCAATGGCCCGTGTCAGGACAGGAAACCCTACTATGGCTACGTCAAACGTGCTACCAACAGGGCACCCTCTGCACATGACTGTTGGTGGGCTGAGCACCAGAAGACCTGTGGGGGCACTTACATAAAAATCAAGGAACCAGAGAACTACTCAAGAAAAGGCAAAGGAAAGACAGAACTAGGAAAACAGCCAGTCTTGGCAGCAGAGAATAAGGGTAACTCTTCGTATATATTCTTCCAACTTTTCTGTGACTGTAGTGGCTACAGTGTAGACAGGCCAGCCTGTGAAGGACTGGTATGGAGACAAACTTAAGGATTCTTCCTAGTGCAGAAGTTTTCAAGTATGGACTTCAGAAAAAAAATTCCATGGTCTGTGAAATGATAGTAGAAAAGTATACTTTGCTTTATATAGATGTGAGTAAAAGTAGAAATAGTGAAGTCCCTTTCTATATCTTGATTCACTGAGTCATTAGGAAACAGAAGGCAAAAAGATTGTCAAAATAAAAACAGCAATTCAATAACAATGCCCGGAACATGTGTCCTAACTACACCCCTTCCTATCAGCTGGATTCTGTCCAGGTTACTTCTCTTACTGATGTATGTATTTTCACTGGGAGACTGGGAAAAGGATATGCTTTGTGTATGCTAGTACTTCATCCCTTTTCTATGAAGTTCAGAGTTCCTGCCTTTTGAAGAGGTAACTAGGTTACTAAAGTTAATATTTCTTCCTTTGGGAAATTGTTGATTGGATGTGACAGGGCCCAGAAACATCGGGTATATTTCCCGAATCTGAAATAATAATTTGAGTAGCTATAGAAGAATTTATGCATAGAGATTATATCCTCATTTTTGTGAGTAGGAGAAAAGAATGTGGTAGCAGATTTTTACCTGTTTGAGCTAAACTTAAAGAATACTGAGCAGTTTTCAAGGTAAACATTAACTTTGCTGGTAGTCTTTGCATAACAGAACTCCTTATCTAAACATGAGAGGATGTTTTTTGTCCTTTGTAGTTCCCATACCAGACCTCTCTGACTGCTGAAGACTGTACTCCTCTCATTAATAGGCAACTTATTACCTGAATCTAAATTAAATTAAAATAGTATTTCTCCATTTTGAGAAAGCTATCCATTAGCTTAATATTTGTTACTGTATTCCTTTTGAGTCAAGGAAAAATCTTGTTTCTTTGCAGATAAACCCAACAGAGGTGACACACAGCTGTTAATCCCTTTCAGTGGGAAAGGATATGTTCTAGGAGAAACAAGCAGTTCACCCTCATCTGGGAAATTTATCATTTCACATGCTATCAGCAAAACCCAGGATCTTCTAAGTCAAGACCATTCAGCAAATGCTCTAAGACCTAATTCTAAAGTTGAGGTGAAATTGAAACAGAATGGTTCAAGTAAAAGAACTTCTCTAGTCTCCCCTGTTCTTAATACTAGTCACCGAAATGTTTTAAGCAACTACTTCCCCAGCATATCAGTTGCCAACCAGGCTTACAGAAGTGTGGACGGGTCTCCAGCGAGAAGTGTAACAGTTGGTGAAATCACTAAAAACTCAGTGTCCTCCAGTTCTCAGAGGAGGGTTGCATCTTCTAAGACATCCCTGCGGAATTCTTTAAAAGCAATGGAGTCTATGTCTGTGACTGAATCCCAGGAGGTGAGTAGGCCTGAAGACAGATACCCAAGTAAAAGACCCAGGCTAGAAGACAAGGCTGTTTTTGACAATTTCTTTATCAAGAAGGAGCAAATACAAAGTGGTGGTAGTGAACCAAAAAGTAGTTTGCATTCAACAGCTGCAACTCAGAATTCCACTACTTTGCCCAGTCAGAGCCAAAGAGTGAATTGCCCTGTTTGTCAGAGTGAAGTTTTGGCGTCTCAGATTAATGAGCACTTAGACTGGTGCCTTGATGGTGACAACATCAAAGTAAAAAGCTGAAGTCTTTGAAAAACGAGTGGGTCTCTCCAACTCCTATATTGCCTCACTGATACAATGTCAGCACCTCAGGGAGTTCTGTTTAATAGTAAGATCTGCAGGTTATGATCTAGTTCATGTAATTAATACAAAATATTCTATTTTATATATACATATGAAATTGTAATTAAGTCATATCTAAAGGTGCTATATTCCCTCTTGCCTTACGTATACTGTAGTCCAGACTTTGTTGTGCATGTATATATGAGTAATTCTTAGACACTTTTCTTCTTTCTTGCTCTTAAAGCTGTTTTAATCTGTTGATAGTTTTTATTTGTAGACTTCCCTCAGAATATTCAGTGAGGAAGCCTGTCAAGTAAAAAACTGAATATTTATTAATGTTAAAACTCACAGAACTTACATTCATATTCATGGCATCAGACATAATGACTAAAAACATAGTCTGGAATTCAGAATATATCAGTTGTTTTAGGGTACTCACTTTTTTTTTTAGTCTTTTAAAACAGGAAATAATTTTATGTATTTTAAAGAATTTTATTTTCCATTTCTCTAAAAGGTGGTGGCAGATTTTAGGTTAAAATACATTTCTTTTAGAACATTACTAGTAACATATAGCCACTGTAATGTGTAGGACACAGCTGTTTTAATAAAGTTTAGCAAAATGAGTGGTTAGAACCTGATGCTAAATTAAATGGTATATTCTAACTTACTCTCAAGTTGCCTAATTTATGTAACAGTGAAACATTATCTGGAAACAGTGTTAATGAACCTTAAGCCAAAGTTGGAACCATTATAATAAAAGCAATGCCATTTGTGCATTTTAAAAAGTATATTTATTTTAAAGAACATTAAGGGACAAAGACATTTTATCAGGTGAATTTGCTTTTTGTCTGGTGGCTGTACCTCCAGCATGTTGGCATCTTCCCAAGACCTGAGTTCTTAAGGTTTCCTAACTTCGTTGCCACGTGACTTGTATGTGCATGAGGCGCACAGATCACAGGTGCAGCTGGGCGGAGTTGGGCATCATGTTCTGGGTCACCATCACCCAGATCAGGTTAGAGAGCATTTGTCACCACAGCTCCATTAGCTTGTGTTTTACTTGATGAAGTTGTGTGTCTGTTGGTATGTGTTGCTCTTCCTTGGCACTCCAGCATTTGTGTGAATGTGCCAGAGTTCATCCATTCCAGTAGCAGTAGACATTTGACTGACTTGCAGTTTGGGGCTGGCTTTTAGGAATAATGCTGAGAACTTTCATATGTATTTCTGTGGGCACACACCCAGCATTGGATTTGGCGTGTTCCAGGGTGCAATTTGTTCAGTGCCGGTGAGCACTGCCAGCTCAGCACTCCCACTGGCGACCTATGAGCTTCATTTGTTCTGCATCTGGACCTGGTTATCCAGCCTTTTCATTCTAACCCGTCTGGTTGCGTGTTCACAAGTTTTGGTATTTTAAAGTTAAAAAGCCATTTAATAAATAAGATGAATGACTTACATATGCATATTCTGTTGAGTATATGCAGTCATACTTTCATAGAAGACTGTTTTTCTCTAATTCACTTTAACAAATTGTATGCAATTAAACAGATTTTGAGGCCAAACTGTACAAGGTTCTGGATCCATGAAGTAAAAAAAAAAAGAAGTCCATGTCCCCAAGAATCTCTGTAGCTCAGTTGGGAGAGAGACAAGTGGACTAATCTCAACATAGTAAGTGCCCCAGTGGGTTTCTGCTGGGAAACCCAGGTGCTTGGGAACCTAAGGCCGTCGGTGCACAGTCAGGGCTTTGGGATGTGTTTCGGAGGAGGGGATAGCCAGGCTGTCTTCCAGGAGCGGTCAGGTTAGCCTGGTAAGGAAGGGTGGAAAAGGCCTTGTGAAGAGAGAGGACACAAGGAATGCAAATCGGCTAGCATGTGCCACTGGGCGAGCTGAGCTTTTCTGACAGAGTACAGTATCAGATGTGAGGGGTAAAGAGGCAGAAGGGGAAACTGCAGACAGGACAGATCCAGTAAAGCAGAGTTCTGAGGGCAGAGAGCCTGTCTGTCGTGTTTCACTGGGACCACCAGTTGTGCTCCCTGCTGATAATGTATTGATTCAGGAGGGGCAGAGGGTGCAGAAACAAGCTGCTGTTTGCTTTCCAGTTTGGGTGCTAAACCTACCAGTTTACCCTCTTGTTTACTGAACACCAGGTGGCGCTTTTAGTAAGTTACATTTCTCTGAAAAAAAAAAACCAAGGCAAGCCAAGCCCAATGCATGGGGAACTTGGCAACAACTGGAACAATAATTGCCAGTTCTGATTCATAGAAAGGAAAAGATAGGTTATGATCTCCAGTCCTGTGAGAGGGGACACAGCAGCCCAAGAATGTGCTTGTTCAAACAAACAGCACTGAGCTACAGGGCACTGTAATCTCCTTAACTGTTTTCCTTCCACGTTTTCTCTGAAAACTAACCTGACACCCAGTCTTCTGCAGTAAGAAACTAGGGCCAACAAGTGGCAAAGCATAATTCCCAACAGGAAGCTTCTAGACAAAGGCAAGACCTATGCTTTTCTATTATTTCTGAAATTATAATACTCTTTTCTTTGAACATGTCTAACACTCACCACTTTGCTCCTTACTGTCTAGACCAGTCTGAAAGCTTGCTAGGGACATAAGTAATGTCCTTTGCCCCTTTATCAGAGATGTCCTAGAACAAAGAGGAGCTTCTTAGATTCTTGGTGATTAGTGAATGAAATGGCTAGGCATTTCTCAAGTTCCACTGTTCTGTGTTCCCCAAAATCCCTTAATGAACAAGCTTTCCCCCTACACTTCTCTGAAGTCAGAATCTGTATGTTTTCAAGCTAGAATCGTCCTGAGACCCAAATAACTCCAGGTAATGAGCATTCCTTGTGGACCAGATACGTGAAAATCTGCATCTACATGAGAGAAACTAGGAGGGTATTTGTTTTAATGATTCCTCAGAATTTTTAAGTATTTGTATACATTTAAAATAATTCAATAGATAAATATGTACATATACATATACATAGGTACACACATATGTAAGTGATTTCTGGTAACTCATTTATAAAGATGGGCCCACACTTGTTCAGTTTTATTAACACCAGATATTCAAACAGCCACCTCCACAGGCCCCACAGGGGAGGGTGGCAGCTGCTCTGCCATGTCTCCTTGGTGTTGCTGTGTGTGTGTAGATGGTTGTCACTCTTGATAATATTTCCCTGTGCAGGTGTACCACCATGCCAGGGGTATGTGCTGCGATTCTTTTTAGCTCTTTGTAGCTATTTTCTTTGGTACTGTGGGCTACTTTCCTATTTTTCTCCAATACTCTTCATTATATTTTCAGTTGAATCTATTCTGCCTTTGGCACCTTGTAATTTACTTTGGAGATAATTTTGTCTGAGTTACATCAACTTGCTTCACAGCTTTCTGAGCCCCACTGCCCCGGTCCATTGTTGTTCTGAGATTTTAATTCCTAATTTCAGGTGTTAATTTTTACTTCTGCAAAGTCTTGTTTAAAGAAATTTATCTCAGACTGGATATTGCAGTTTTCTTCTGCCTGATAGATGAGGACAGAATTCTCACCAGCTATAACTGACTCTTTGTTTTCTTACAATTTTTATAAATGTTGTCTTCCTCTTTCTGCTCATTTTGAAAGGCATTGTTTTCACTGTTGGTTCTGTGTAGGCAGGAATGAGGGGTTTGTGTGGTTTCTGGGTCTCTGATTCTGTGTTGTTGGTATAGTGAAATGCAGTATCGCTCAGAGACAACACTTCTTTGTGTGGGAGGGCTTGGAGTCTCTTGATTCTGTATTTTTTTTCCCTAGAAGCCCCTTGCTTGCTTCTTTCAGTTTACCATCTAGCCTCCAGGAGACACCGCCCCCTCTCCCAGAAATGGGCCCTTACCCATCCTCCACCTCCAACCTCATGAACATCTTCCTCCTGGTGGAAGTGCTCTGAGGCACTGATGTCTGATTTATCAGTATTTCTGTCACTTATGTTGGAGTCCCTGTTTTTCTTCCCTGTGTACTGCCACCATGAGGCCCCACTGCCTCTGTCCCTTTACCAGAGTATCCACTACGTAGCCTCTGTTTCACGAGTTCCGATGTATGCTCTAGTTTCTGGTGCTTTTTGCTTTCCCTTCACCTAAGCTGAACTTTTTTCTGTGTCTCACAGTTTCGCTGTAGGTATGGGTGACAGGTAACTGTTCTCCTTGTCTGTCTGGTGTTGGAAAGATTATGAAAGAGAATCAGACTGAGGCAGCTGCCAGTGTTTCTTGGAAAACCAGAAGCCCAAGGTAACTTCTCTTAAATATGAACAAGAATTACCAGACATGTGGGGAAAACTTTTAACAGAAAAGACAAAAAATAAACAGTAAAAAAGGTTTAATACTGTATCCATTAAACAGAACAGGTTTTAGATATTAAAAACAAATTTAGAGAACAAAGAGAGCTCTTGACCATTGAAAGCCAGACAGCAGGCATCAAACCCTTGCTAAGGGAGAACTGGAAAACAGACATCTCCAAATAAAGGCCACAGATACACAGTGCCCAGAAAAGAGCAAACAGCTCAAAGCAGCAGATGTGCAGTCTGGACAACAGGAGTTCCAGCAAGAGCAGGGAGAGTGGCAGGGAGAAACAATGTAGTCATTTAAGAAGATGGCTGAGAGGCACACACTGAAGCAGAATGGGGGAGAGCCCTGGCCCCACCTGCTTGTATGTTCTAGGGACAAAGAATAAATCTGTAGGCTTGCACAGAGAAAAAGCAGAGTCCATATAAAGAATAAGGAATAGGAAGGGCTTCAGATTTCTCAGCATCCACACTGGAACCTAGAACCAGTTGATGCCTTCGAAACCCTAAAATACAATGATTTCTGAACTAGAATTCTAAATCCAGGCAAGTTACCAATTAAGTAAAACAAAAGACACTGGTCTCAAGACAATGTACCTCCCACATACTACTCTCTGAGAAGAAGTACTGAAAGTCACACACCCGACTGAGGAAGTAAACCAAGGAGGAAGACAAGGGATCTAGGCAACAGGAGAGGACGGAGGGCAGGGGGCCTGCAGCACCATGGTGAAGGCAGGGAGGGCTAAGGAGACAGCTGGGAACCTGGCAGGCCAGCCACCACTCCAGACCACTGCAGGTTGGAAGCCACAGGGAAAAAATTGAAAATCAAGACATTAGGAAAAAGTAAACTGTGGAAGTCATCATGGTTTACTGTGTCTGGGCTTTGAATAGCATAAATAATCTATTTACTTCATCTAAGTTACAACATAATTTGTAGGAATATCAGGATGTGGGAGAGAGCTTGCATGTGTGGTAGGGATGGTGAAGGGTGGCAGGAAAGAAACCTATACTCTTATCCTTCATGTGGGGAAGTTAGTAGAGGTGGCAATGTAATTATGTTCTTTAGAACTAATCAGGCAGTACCTACGAATCAGTTAAGAGTTAGAATTCGTTCTTAGGGGAAGCAGATGAGGGGCTGTTTTCCTTAATATGCCTTATGGAACAAGTTGACCTACCTACATGTACATGTGTCACTTTGGCTTAAAATAATTTAACAAAAAAAGGAAAGCCTATGTTCAAGTCCTGGCTTTCTACCAGTTAACTCACCAGGTGACTGAACAAGTCACTTTTCTGGTCCTATTTTAATTACAAAGAGAGATAAGTTTGCTTTGCCTACTTTCTATGTTCTGAGAAAAAAAAATGTAAAGATGCTTTATAAAACACCATAGAAACGTAATTTTGGCAGAAAGAGTCCTAATATCTCACTGAAAGGAAGACCTCATCCAATAACCTTTACACCTTGTTTAGCTGCCCACAGCTGTTTACGTTTATCCATCTTGTGATCTTTATGTAAGTTTTCCACTTATCAAAATCCTGCCAGCTCATGAGGTCGTGTGCTTCATACAGATCGCTGGCCCAACAGTATGCCCTTGAGCACTGCTGTATTCAGGTGAAGGTTACTTGCTGGCGATCATGAAAAGAAGCTGCATGAAAACCAAAAGCAGCATCTGGGGAACATGCTGCTGACCTCAGATGTCCAATCCACTCTCTGTGAAGCAGTATAGATATTTACTTCTGAATGTTTATTAAACTAATTGAAAAAACCCAACATACAGTTAATTATTAAATATATGGTATTAATATGTATCATTGCAGTCCACAGTTAAACTAAGGCTCTCATTCTGGGACCAGGAGCATCTCAGGAAATAGTATTTCAGTAAAGGTCACACATAACTCTTAAGTTTGGAGCTGTTGTGCTTATTTTCATACAGAAAAGGCTCTGAAGGTCATACAACTCAGTGGTTAGGCCAAAACTACACCGAGATGTGTCAATCATGTGCTCTTTTTACAACACTTCCTAGTTTAGTCTTCATCTCTTAATTCATTTGCCTGCTCCTTTAATCCATCCAGCTGCATTTCAGTAGAACTTCTCAAATGCCCTAAGGTAGGCCAGAAAATAACATAAAACAGTGAGCATGAATATTGATCTTACATTATGAGAGCTCTTATACATTAGTCTCTGACCAAACAAATTAAACTTGCATGCACACATGGGACACCTGTGACAATTAGAAATGCATATTGCCTGTTTTCAGTTGAAGGATGGCACAGTGTGTTTAATAGCATGAGTGATAGAGTAATTTTAAAAATACCATTAGGAGGACAAGAATCCAAATGGTAAGAATCCAGCACAGAGTATCATGGATCCCACAGACAGTCCAGTCACACCCAAGATGTTCCTAAGGTTGCTGGGCCCGTTTACTGGTTACTGTTTTCTCTTTTTCCCTTGTTACCATTTTATCGTCTATAAAACATACCACCAAATGTTCTGCACTAAGCCAGAGATGTGTGATAGAAAAGCATACGATCTGATGGAAGGGCCCATTAAGAAAGTCAGTGAATAACAGAGGATTAAAAAACAAAGACAGCTGGAAATAACCATAATTTTTTCAAGAACATTTATATATCTTTTTAATTAGATTAGCTTTACAAGCAAATTGAGAGTTCTTTTATAATGAAACACTGCTTTTCAAATTACATGACTTTATAGTCTTTCTATTTATGAATCCTGAAAATTCTTTGCCTGCTGTTGATAAAGGTGTATGTTTTACAGCTGGTTAATGTGTTGAATAAAAACAGCATTAGAAGCTTTAACCAGGATTAAACACATATAGGCCACAAATAGTTTTAAATTTTGTTTTAAAGTCCTGCCTGGTGACATGTTAACAGTCCCACTAAGATGAAATGAACAGATTTTAAATAGATTAAAGAAATGACTATCCTTGTTATTTCTTGATCCTTTCACAATGATCTCCAAGAAATTAAATTTTTCAAAAAATAGAAAATTTAAGACCTGTTGGGCAAGCACAAACCACAGATACTAAGTAGAGTCTGACACTTCGTACAACTGCAGAGATATACATTTGAATGACCCAGGGCTCCTAGATTAAAAGGCTGTTTTCTGTACACCTTGGCGATCAAAGAAATCTCTCATTAACATGACACAATTTCTACTGGACCTAAGAACGACAGCGCTTTTGAGTGGCCCAGTGCAGCGCATGCACCCCAGGCCAGACAGCCAAGACAACTTGGCGCTCCCAGGTTCAGCCAGCAGAGGCACTTACTCTACGAGATGTTACATTGTGTTATCTGAACAAGGAGAGGAAGTGGAACAGAACTGAACACAGCAGGAAAAAACAACAATGAACTCTAATTTTCTCCTGTGAGTTCTCTGAAGTGAGATCACAATGCTCTATAATTAATCCCACCCTAAACCCACAGTCAGTTTCACTAAACAATTTTTTTCATGTTTTACATGAACAGTAGCAATCTTTTAATAAAAATTACTGAGCTTTCCATAGAAAAGGTCTCTAATTGAATACAAACTATACAGATGCTAAAACTGTTAATAAGTTGAAATATACAGAAATATTTCTGTATGCTCACATTATTTTGGCAAAGATCAAAGACAGAGATAGAAAACTGAAGTGGGCATGGTCTTACCCCATAATTCATGCAAAATATGGATACCACCCTTTGGACTTTGCTAAAGAGCCTAGAAAACTGAAGTCTAAGACATCCATCCCAATTGGTAATCAAATAACAGAGGTCTGGGCAGCCTGCTGTGATTTTGTAATATTTAAAAAGTAAAAAAGAAAACTCATAAAACATAATAAATACAAAATTCACTTTTTTTTTTTAAGCTAAACATCGATCTTTCAATACTGATACAGAGGCCAGCATCACATTTGGAGAATGCCTCAGCAGCAGTCTGAGGTGTCACTAAGCACTTCATCTGTAATAACACAGTTCAGTCTTGATGTGCATACAATCTCCCCTTGATGTGATCCAGGAGAAACAGGTTTTGATCTGCAGATCAGATGGGATGCATATGGAAGGGAGGAAGAAAATGTAATAGCAAAGTTGGAAGTACAATCAACTTGACGGAAAGCAAAGGGCAATATCTTAGGAACTAGGGACATTATCTTCTACATCTACAGGAGACACCTGAAAGGGTAAGAAGGCCCTTACCATGGAACCCGATGCTGAGGATAACCTCAATCAAGTTCATTTAGTGCCAGTCATGTTAGTTTAAAAAAAAATTAAAAGATAAAACCTTCTTCCTGTGTATTTCTTATAGGACATGAACTAAAAGTTATTGGTAGTTAATGGTGATGGTTTCACTGTTGTTTCATTATTAACAATGTCAAAAAATGAGAGCAGTGATCTTTAAGAGTTTGAATTAGTATGAGACAGGACTACAAAACAATCCGATGTTTCATCTGGTAATTAAAGTGCTCCTAGAAAATCACTGGCAATAATCATCATAAGAGGTTTTTTTGGGCAAAATTTTATAGTACGAAGAGGTTTACAAAAATAGATCGATGTTATTTGGGGAATAATGCTGTAATTTTTTCTCAATCCAGTTTTGATAAATTGTACCTGATCATACAAAAATTACTTCAAATTTAAACTTGACTATATAAAAAAGGGAAATATGAAATGAACTCGGCTAGATGACAGATCTGGCAAAATATCAGAATGAAAAACTTTTCTCTAGGGCACCTATTTCATGTCCAGCTGTAAATAAATACCACTTTCTGTTGAGAGCCTGTATTCTTCCTGAGAAGCAATCACAGGTTTGGAGTCAGTCATGCAGTACAAAGCCACACAGTCAAATCTTCTTTATGAAGCAACATAAAAAAGTTGTTTCTGGTTCCTTATTAAAATGCCAACTGGTTGTCTATTTTTCTTTACCCCATTTATTCATATTCACAAGTTAACAAATAGCATCAACAATCATGTAGGTGAAGTGGGGTATTGCTGGATCAAAGGCTCTATAAGACGTCTTTATTGATTGAATCAGAAGGTTTATTGAGTTCAACCCTCACACCTTTTTCACCTGTAAGGTATAAAAAAAGAAATGAAAGAAATTCATTCATTAAGCACCAGAGAGCTTCTATTACTGCTTCCTACTCAGTTCCTAACAGTACGCACAACAGTTCAACTTTGCAAATATATGTCATCCAAAAACCATCATATTTGCACTTCCAGAAGCACTCAGCACTCAGCACTGTATCATGATGCATGCGTTACTCTGAGCTGGTAAACCTTCAAAGGGAAAAAACATTCTCTACACTGAAATAATAGTTTGGTCTTCTTTTTATTTTAAAAGTAATTTGAACTGCTATAAAATAGCAGTGTGTTCAGTGACACTGAAAGCACACCACTAGGCTTCTGCTACAAATACTTTAAAATACATAGAAAATGCATGAACAACCAATTTTATAGTTTTATAAAAGGCTGATGTGGGATTATCAATAGCTCATGAAAATATAGCTAGTTAATCAGTAATGTGAACACTGAGCAGACTTCTGGAGCTATAAGGTGGGGTTAAAGAAATGGCAGGTAAGTGGTCCATCCTGTGGAAAACAGACCCACCACTGTTAGGAGACAGGCCTGAGTGGGGTTGCAGAGGGCTGGCATATGGAAAGATCTTCAGATTTAGTGCAAGTGTGCTGACTTATGGACACCACTGGTAGATATGGATTCTACATGCTTGTCTGATTTCCTTATTTGGGCATTTTAATTCATCTTCGTATGCATTTTCTTCATGTCCACATACAACGTGAAGACTTGGAGAATTCTTTAGCACTTGTATGTTTAAAAAATAAAGGATATGAACTTTCTTCTAAGGGGAGAATGAAAAGAAGCCAGATGGCAGGTACCAAGAGTTCAGCAGCCTGTTATTAAAAAGAATAATCACAGAAAACTCAGCTTATATTTGAATAATTTCTCAGACTTCTTTGACCCAGACTTTCCTGATTTTGGACAATTTTGTTGGCTAAAGATAACAGTGAAGATGACTTAAGAGAAGTCCTCTTTTGAGTAAGGGAATTAAGGAATTTGACAAAAACAAGGAGACTGTTGCCTCACTGAAGCACCACCTGACTCAGGGCGTTTTACTTCCAGTATTCCCTGGCCCCAAATAATGTTTACCTGTTAGATATTTTACTTTAGCTCGTGCTCTCTCATCTGCATCAAAATACCAAACAGTTATTGCGTACCTAAAAGAAAATTTAGAATAGGGTAAGAAAGAATCATCACATGGGGAGAATGCTCTATGCTGTTGCAATTGTCCATTAAAACTTGTAATGCCAAAATTACGCCTAATTGGAATGACAACAGAGGACAAATGAGCGTAGTAACAGCCCACTTATCCAGCAGCCTCAATGCTCAAGAGCACAGCAGAGAGCCAGCAGTAGCTAAAATTGATGTCGCCAAGTTGATGAGCTTTTATGACTTTCTTAATACTGCTGAACCTACTTATGTCTTGCAAGCCCAGAGATCAGAAGCAGAAAGGTGAAAGAATGGCTTTACAGAAAAAGCACACTATCATGGCCTAAGTCTAAAAGACGAGAATAGAAACAGAAAAGGACTCGAGGCCTGGGACCCTTTAGTGAAAGGGAGGCTAGCAGTTTCAACAGCCTCTGTGGGCATGACTACATTACAACAAGAACAATGATGGCTGTTCACAATTTTACAACCTGGAATCATCGAGAAAGTTTAAGTATGCTAAGAATCTCTCAGAATTTTTATCAAAACAATTATACTATGTTTTGACATTTAAAGTTTAGCTCCACATTTATGAAAATTTCACTTATTTGGAATATCTCATTCCACAAATAAATGAGAAATCTCTCGCTTATTAAATGCTACAAAGCACATAGTTACACCTTTTGGTACCAATACAGGGGAAATGTATCTGTACTATCAGAAGTGAAAGCACACTACAGGCAATTAATTTCTTAGTAAAACAGAGCAATTAGATAAACTATGTTGCATATTGGGGGATGTGGGGGTGGGTGGGTGGGGAGCAATACTGATCAAACAAAAGCCTGGTAAATGTGAAAGAACTAAAATCACGTAATGTATTTGAGTCAAGAGTCAAAGGCAGAGTAGTCAGAGTCTGGAAGTTTGGACAACTGGGGAGACTTGATGCCCACAGCTTACTCAGCTGGGTAGGGACAAAGCTGAGGTAGAATTTTGGCCACCCAACTTGCAGATTCTTCTCTTTTTAGAGTTCTAGCACCTGTCTTACCATGGAGCCTCTTCTACCTTCCCAGGGACTTTGGGAAAGGGAAAGGTGTATGTATACAATCTTATCTCTCTTCTGCCCATGCCACAAACTTATAGGTACTCAGCAATCAGAGTTCTAATATCTGCATCAGTCTGTATAGCCCTAAGTCCTCCCCAGAAAACAACTTAAAACTACTATATGCCTGCACTGTCTCTGTTGATCTATCAGAAGAATGCTTCTCCTCACGTTAAACTCTGCTGCAGCTTGAACATTTTGCCTTTTCTCCTAGGACTTTACTAACAGCACCATTCCTGTCCCTCCTCATTCTAGGCCCTAAGCTCCTCTTTTCACTGTGACCCTGGACTCACCCATGCTGATTTAAGACCACTTCTCCTCCAAACTCCTGTACACTTACCCTCTGTAATCATTTGGCATCTATTTACTACCTAAAAATGTCCATCATCTGTTCATCTAAAAATGATACAACCAGGCCATACTCAAGATTCCATAAAAAGGAAGGTCTATGAAGTGGTTTGTAGGTGAGAGAAGGTTTTAAAGAATCTCTTAGGGTAGACAGACATGGTATGTGGAGAGGAGAGATGAAAATTGAGGAGAGCATATCATGTGATGTGACAGGATCTCCCCCCATTTTTATTTTGGGTTCTTATGATCTCTAGCTACAAACTGTTCAGCTTGCTGCTCACTTATGGGGATTAGGGCTGAAGGCAACACTGCTCAGAAAGAAGCCAAAAAAAAAGAGAGAGAGGTGACAAAAAATCTAGCATTGGAACCTCATCCAGGGCTGGCCCATCCCTAACATTAAAAGCCATCTCTTCTCCAGCGTATCTATGGGTAGGCCTCGTCACCAGATCTGAGAAACTGTGTGCCAATAATTCACTAGCCCAATGTTCTTTACATAATGAAAAATAGGTATTTAAAAAACAGTACTCTTTTTCTACAAATAATTTATTTTTACAAAAATGCGTGTCTTCTATTTAACAGTCTTGACATTTTAATTGAATCATGGAAAATGGTTTAAAAAAGCTTTTTCAAAGAATAAACAATAGGTTTAGAACACTAAACCATGCATAAAAATAATGTGAAATGCAGAAAATATAAAGAAGAATATATATGTGTAACGTAGAAAAGAGTGTAACAAGCCTACAGATGCCTACTTTTGTAACAAGCTAAAGGGGTATTTATCTAACATTAATTTCCCACACAGTAGCCTTTACTTTTCTTTCTTCTACACTTTTTTTCTCTACTTCTACGCTCTAGGTACCTCTTATTTTCCTCTCTGTATCACTGCTCTATAGCATCTTTCTCTCCCCGCAACCCCACCACCTTTTAAAAAACTGCTCTTTTCCTTCTCTGTCTAATCTTTGTATCCCCCAAGTGAAAACTCTCACACAACCAGTGGGGGACAGCAGTAAAGAGATGTGCAAATCAAGGAGGCAGGCCAAAAACAAGCCTGTGCTTTCATTTGTCACCCCAGACAAGGAGTGGCTGTGCACAACAAGTCACACACATTTAGTACTATTGTAGTGAGTCTCATACAATTATTCAAATTAGAAGTGATGACTGCAGCATTATGGCAATGGTAACTGAAGGACAGCAAGATGATCTACCCCCTCCTATCCTACCATATGCTTTACCAGTGTTTTCTTTAAAGGAATATTACCTTGTAGCATATGCTGGTTGTACTTCATGAGGGTTGCGGCGGTCAGACCAGAAAAACAGCAGTCTATCAAATTTGGGTTCAATGTCAGCAAACTGGGCTTTGCCTTCTGGAAAAATTCGAAGTATACCTCCACTTACCTAGGAAAAGAGCCAAGTATGTAAGTATGAGTAACCACGGGTGCTTCAAAATTAAATTTGGGTGGGTGGGGGGACCACTTCAGTGAATCAAAATTCTTAATTAGGCTGCTCACAGTGTATCTCAAAGAACAAGGCATGAAGGTGGGCAGAGATTCCAAGCATGTACACTGACCTAGGGAAAATTCATTTCTTGTTTCAGGGATTTTTGTAAATACTTGAGGCAGATGAATATTACCTGAATTTCAAAGTCTTAAAATAACATTTGAAAGTTTTAATAACTGGAAAACATTTCTTATTTATGTATGTTAATGATGTGCTTAGCCTATTCTTAAAATGTATCCATTTCAAATCATCTTGAATAAATTACTACAAATGGTTAAGTATGTCAAATAAATAATTTATTATATTTAAAGTTGAATGCATAATTAAAAAGACAGCCACAAATTTAATGCCTCTGATTTATGGAATTAAGTTTATCCGTAGAAAGTATCATCATTTATCATCAGCATCATACCACTGTGGCCACTATTAGAAACTGTAGCTCAATCGCCCCTTCCAGTCGGGGCCTGACAGCAATATTACCTGCTTAAAAAGCTGGATTCCACCCAGAAAGGATTATTACTAATTTCCCACACATAAATCCTTTGTTTTGGGGAATCAGATGGACTCATCTACTCATCCCAATACTGAATGAATGTCTGTTGTTCTGGGATGGGTGGTGGGCCCCAGGTGCAGAGCAGGGAATAATGTAGGCAGATGCTGTCCTGGCAATTATAATCTGGGGGAAATTAAAGTGAGGCAAAACCCAACCAACTGAGTAGTCTTTACCCGTGAAAAACTAAACTTCCATGCAGGTAGTCTCTTAAAGTGAAAGGAACTTTAACTCCAGACTCATGGAGGTTGAGCCTATTCCTAGAATCCATAGTTAGAGTAGTTGTTTATCAGGTTCATCCCCAAGGAAGTTAAATTCAAGCCACTGCCCACTACCTTCCTCTGGTTCCAATGTTGCTGGGCAAGTACCCCAGCAACTGTGCCTTCCTGTGGTTCCACTGTTGCTCTAATTTAATTCAATTTCTAAAGACCTTCTGGACTGTGACCCACAACATATGTTCTTTCCTTTCCCTGCCCCCTTTCCTTTGACCGTAGTAACTGAATAATCAAAAGGTGATCTGCTGGAATCTTATAAAAAGAGACAGTTTAAGTTTCCAGTCTTCCTCTGGGAAACCTTCCCTGACCTCTGAATTAGATGGCCCTCCCATCCGCCCACAGAGCAATCTGTCCTGCACTTGGTGTACTTGTCAATCTAATGATCTGTACTCTCCACTAGATCTCAAGCTCTATAAGGGCTATTACTACTGCCTCTCTATCTCTAGCACCCAGAACATTGTCTGACACACAGTACATATATAGCAATCCTGCAACAGAAGTTTTCAGTTCTACATATTAAAGTACTAATAAGGACTTCTGTCTGCTTACATACTAATTTAAAAAATATATATATATATATAAATGATTTTGGCTAGGTACTATGAAAATAAAAAGGAAATCAAACCTAGAAAGAACTTTATAAAATATAGAAGTTAGGAGTTGACCAAGCATTACTGGGCTTTCTAGATATTCACAAAATCTGGAAAAAACTTTTTCTTAAGATTTAGCCAAAATTACACCAATCTGTTTTGTGCATTGGGCTCAAGGTGATTCCAAAATTTATTTCTCTATTTCAAACTTCAAAAGCTGTAACAGAACAACTATGCTTGTTCACACAATACCTCAAAATCAGATTAGCAGTAAAACTTACCTCCATTTTGAACTTGGACCAGGACAGATGAAACTCTTTATGATATAGAAAGATTACTAGAGGACTATGACCATATCCTCAATATTAGGTTTTTTACACATTAAGATGTGGTGGTTTCCCCAATGATATTGTATTAACTTGGAGTGGTGAGAGATGGTAAGCATACTTACCACTGTGAGCATTTTGTAATGTATATGAACATTGAATCACAATGCTGTCCACCTGAAACAACTGCAGTACTATGTAAACTATATGCCAACAAAGAATAAATAAATAAAAGTAAAAACAGACTTGTTTCCATTTGCGTGTTTTGTGTGTGGAGGTTGGGGGTGGGGGAAGGCAGTGTTTTAAAAGCTATTTGATTTTTAAAAATTACCCTGGCTCCTCAGGTGTGTTCAATCTATGAGAATCCACTGGGCTATCCACTGTGTTCACTTTTTGATTTGAATATTTTCCTTCAATAAAAGAAAATAAAAAATGATTTTTAAAAATATCAACCAAAAAATTAGTTTATACAATCTCCAGTGCAATAACACATGACATACATCTTAAGTTTAAATCACTTAAACTTAAGTGAAACTCGGGCTAATATTAAGGGACTATGTACATAAAACAAGAGAGATTAAATGTACTGCATATTGTGGCTGGCTTATAGGATTTGTCAGTACTGATGAACTTCTAGTTTTTCCATAATCATGGAAGGAAAGAATCCTGCCTCCAATCTTCAACAACCCAATGCCAGGTAACATCTCTATAACAACGTGAAGAATGAAATACAGGATATTGTAGTACATAATCCATAATAATTATACACAATCTTCCTCAAAAGTCCATTATAACACAGTCATTCACAGAAGTGTTTTTATAAAAACTATTAATAAGAATGTATTTAAAAAAATAACATTTTTTGTAAAAGCCAAAATTTTGGATGAATGCTTCAATATACGAAGATAAGGGAATTCACTGAGAAATATAAGTATTTGTTTCATTTTATAAAGATTCACTAATACCTGAGTGACTGAAACAAATGTAAGAAAGAAATTTTTTTTTAATGCTTAATATTTTGTATTAGATTTTCTGGATAAGAAACAATTTTTTTTAACAGTTCTATGTGTTCAAGACAGTCTCACCGATGAAGAGTATGAATCTTAATAATTGTGAGAAAAAAATAACTGTGAGAAAAAAACAAAGGCTCAATTAAATTGCATACCTTGGCATCCCAGTCTTTATTAAGATAATATATACATGTCACACATCTTCCATCTCCATTTGGATTATCAACATGACGTACATAACCCGTTCCATTGCCTGGATAACAAGCAACCATGGCCTGTAATAATAATAATAATAATAATAATAATAATAATAATAATAATAATTTGTTGTTGTTATTATTATTATATAATTCTTAAAGTCCATGTTTAAACAAAAAGGGAAAATGGATTATAGAAGTGATCTCTGATTTTTGGCTACTGTGACTTGTGCTTAAATTCCCTCTAGTAAAAATCCTATTTTGTAGATAAGAAGAGGCACAGAGATTCTACGGAGAACACAAGGGTAAGATGATGAATAATCCAGCAATCCAAGGCCTGGTGGATTTGGCTGTGCTCTGATGGAAGAGCTGACACTCAAAGGCCGGGTGCAGCGCTGCTGTGAGCTGTCACCAGCCAGCTGCCCTACTTAAAACCCCAAAGGTCAGTGGAACCCATGTTCATGATCTTTATTCATACTGATAATCCAGATCAAGGGAGTTTTTGTCTTGCTCTATGGGAGACTTCTCCCCTGCGAGCTTCCCACAGAATACCTGTACTGCTGCTCACAATGTCTTCGAATGTCACCCATTTGGAATGGTACCATAATTTAGAAGGTCAGCTTCAAACATTACCTCATTTAATGTCAGTGATTAAAAAAAAAAGGCTAAATGATAAAATCAGCATGTGACTAACCCCTCTTCAAATCAGAAAGAAAGTCATTTTTTTCACTCAGATTATATAACAAGATGTAGTTCAGAAGACTGCTGCATGTTAATAAGAATTAAGGTGAAAGAGAGGGCCAAAATTAAAAGCACCATATACTGATGTGTTCCAGGAATGTAGTATATAAGAATCAAATGAAATTAGTAGGGATGATTAAAAAATAAGTCTCAGGAATTCTGAAGAATACAAGAACAAAGTCAAAAATTATTCTTGAAACATTCATTTCTCCAATATTTATTTCCCTAATATGTATCAAAATCAACTCTCAGTATTAATGTCAACAAATTAGTATAAAGTTATCAGTTATGAAATTATATCATTATTTAAGATAAACGGAATGCTAGTTTTTAAAATTCATATTCAACTAATTAGTAAATAAATCATGAGGTGTTCCATCTCTAGACTAGGAAGCATTTTAAACATGAATGCTTAAAAATAAAATCACAATTTCATAGACACTCTGAACCAACTGCCCTTTATCAGAAGCAGAATTTTTGGTGCATATTACATATGCTTCTATTTCTCCTGGTTCCGGACAGACTTAAATTCCTCCTCTTAGGACCTGAGCTTGGGAATAAGAGGGAGAATGGCATGGGTTTTGTGGTTTAATAATGCTCCATAAAAGAGAAACACAAACAATTTCTGGGTCATTAGCTGCTAAGGAAAGGCACTAACCTATTTGTGATTAATTAATATGATTATGGTGAATTAACGAATACATTTTTATTTAGAAAAGAATGGAAAAAAACAACAACTTGAACTCTTCCCTGAAGTGATCTCATCTCCAGCAAGTTCACTCAGGCCTCTACAACTGTCTGATCCCAGCATCTAACCTCAGTATCTCTTGTGCAAAGCATGAAGGGAAAATCTCCATTCACCCACCCCATCCCAACCCATCCATCCATTTAACAAATACCTCTTGAGCATCTACTATGTATATTAAAGTCCTTAGTGCTTAAACAGTGAATAAAGTAGACAAAGCTCCTTGCTTTCATTTATTACAGAAGTTAGTATAGTGGGATAAATAACAACAAACAAATAGATATATAAAATAATGTTATGGTAGTGATAAATTCTCTTTCATAAGGCTGAAAAAAACTAAGTCAAAGGATATAGAAAATGACGGGACAATTTTCTACAACAGTGGTCAGGGAAGACGGCTCTGAGGATCTTCCACATGAACAGAGACTTAAATGGAGTAGCAAGGGGGTAAGCATACCCATCAGAGGGAAAATGAGTGCAAAGGCAGATGGCTGGCCAGGGTGGAGAACAACAAGCCAGCTGGGAGAGAATGAGCAAGGGCAAATAATGATCAGAGGGTGTCCAGCAAGCCATGGTGAGGACTCTGGATATAGTTCTGAAAGTGACAGGAAGCCCCTGGAGAATACATCTGATTACTGCTTTAAAAAGGTCAGTTTTTAACAGTTTGCAATAACCTCAATATTATCCAATTCATAACATTTATTGGATGTTCACTATTTGTCAAGTACTATTCTAAGTAATTTATGTGTACAAAACTCATCTGGCACTACCATATGAGGTGAAGAGTATCATCATCCTCACCTTCATTTGACAGTTAAGGAAACTGAGGCCTAGAAAGGCTAATTAATGTTCTCAGTGTCACATGGCAGAAGGTCCAGTGATGAACTATGGCAATCTGGTTTCAGAATCCATGTAATTAACCACTGTACTAGGTTTCAGGGAGGCAAACAGTGACAAGAAGATGGCTAGTTGGCTAGTGCAGTTTCTAGGAGAAAAACAAGAGGCTGAACAGGGTGGCAAGGGGGATATATCTGAAGATAGAAAACCAATATGATTTGCTAATGAATTGAAAGTGGATAGTAGAGGAGTCAACAATGACTTAGAGGTTGTCGGCCAATGTAACTGAATGAATGGAGTGAATTATTTACTAAAACGGAAACAGTACATGAAAGCGCAGTATTAACAACATGCATAGGGTAGGAAGGGGGTTTCTTAGCAGTGTCCAGACATCTCAGACCAGAGCGAAACTGAAGGCACCAGGACTCTGTATCAGTCACTTCAAAACTGCTTTCCTGAGAGCCCTAGGGCTACACGGAGATTCCAGAGGCCAGGGACAAGGGATGAAGTGAAATGATAATAGGCCAAACAAGCAGGTTTTGCCTCAACCTTCAACTAGGGGCAGTATTTATCTGTTTCATTTATTTGAATTCCAAGTGAGACTTTGAAAAAATAAAAGATGCAATGAGAACAATCATGTTAGTTAAATTTTACAATCCCTGATACAGGGCAATTACCACCACCTAAATGTATCACTTGAGGTGGACATAACCACTTTAGCCTTACCTGGTGTCCCTTAGGTCCCTTCAGCTCCTCTCTGGTGTTAGGGACACTGCCATATGAAGAGAAAGGAAGGAAGGAAGAGGGGTTGAGTGCTGAACAGGCCCTGCCCTGAATCTGCCACCTCAACTTGTCAGTACCAGCTCTAGGAAAGGTAGCATACCATCATTGTAAAAAGGATAACATGGAAAATATGAGTGCAACAGAGCAAACTAGAATGCGTATCAATAAGACAGCTTAATGCTGGTAGCTCTAAAGTGGAGTGCTATATAAACGGGAAGGAAGGCAGCCAATACCGCCTGGGTAGAATAAGGATTCCAGTACAAGGACAAGCCCCTCTGTTCCTGTAACAAGAGACTTTCAAGGGAGAAGGGAGAGCCAGAGCCTGTGCACACCCAGAAGAAAGATTGTTCTGAAGATCTGAGGCCTGAAAGAGCCAAATCCCCAGATGTTCTGAAGAAAGAGAAACTTTGTGGGAAATTTGCAAAGATTTGGAAGGGTCATGAATTCATTCAAATAACTGTGTAGTCTGATAATGATACACTGAAACTGCATGTGGTAATTCATGCCTGTGCTGAGACTTTTCTCCATTTGGATTTTATTAGATTTTTAGAAAACATAAAAATGATATTTCTATGTCTTATGAAATCTGGCAGCTTACTGTGTTTAAAACCAGTATTCACATTTAAAAAATATATATTCTTAGCTATTTAAACATAAGCAAAACAATGAAATACTATTTTTTCATTTGATATGAAAATACACAATTGAGGACATTCTTAAGATAACAAACACCATAAATTTGTTTTTTATTCTAAGAATAAAAGGAAAGAAGAGGGTTGTGATACCTCTGTGGAATCTGAAGACATTTATTTCTGGCATTGGAAGGTTTTTATTCAATATGAAGTTGAACCAGGAAACTAAGAAATTTTTTTCCGTTTTGAAATGAATTATTTTAAAACACTGATTCAAACCTAAGAGAACTAAAATTATATGGGCTCTATAAAGTACTATTTTTACCCTGAATGAGAAGGTTTATTACTTGAAAAGTTATCCTATTAGAATACGGTGCCTCAGAGCACATGGCACTGCCCCATGCAGATGTCCACAGAGATACTGCAAGACAGACATGGTATCTCATTCAGTCTGCATGATGAACTTATGAAGTAGGTACAATTAATCACTCCATAACTGAACTATAATGAGAAAAGAAAACTTGCCAAAGTTCACCAAGACTCTGAGTGGCAGAGATGGGACATGGACTGAGGCAGAACCTCTTCCTTCTGTATCCTTGCTCAGTTCCTGTTCCAAGGAAGCTACGCAGAGTCTGACCAGGGGTTCAGATGCAATTGGCAAGGGGGTGCTCTGATGGCTCCCCTTCCACCACAGAGCCACAGACTGCAGATGTGCTACAGGAGGCTGTGCCAACACTATGGTTACACTTTTTAAGTCTCTTCCCCAACCATTCCCAAAGCACACCCCCCACCACCATCACCACCTCTGTGGTTTATTACACAAAATCATTAAAGTATGGGGAAAAAAACAGTTCATCAAATGAACTGGACTAAGAGAAAGTTGGTATTTACTACAAGAATAATCTAATTTTTAAAGCTGCAGTTTTCAAAAATACCTGTTTAGTTTAGGTCAATCTCATTTCCCAAAAGATACAATTAGGAACTATAAAAAGTTATTAACTTTGTTCATTGCATTAATTAGCATAATAAATTGGGGGTAACAGAGAAGGGCAACAATCTACATGCACTTACAATTTTAAAGCTTTGACTTATTTTGCTCAACTTTAATAACATGTAAATAACATATCTCACAATAAACTCAAGACTTTCATTTTGGCAGACAGATTTTTCAGATCTCTGTCATGGAAAAAAATAAAACTAGCACTGAAAAAAAAGGATGTGCCGGTAAGAATGAGGGCAGTTTCTCTTGTTAACAAGCCTCCAGTCCACATGGGCCAACAAAGACCATTTAGATCAGTATTGCATAAAACTTACTCAACCAATTCCAAGTACAGAGAGAA